TCTGCCCACCCGCTCAGCTCACCGGTTCCGTCTCCGCACACCTGGTCTCGTCACGTCTCGGTTGGTCGAATCAACAAACCTTGCGGCGGCACAGCGGTGCAAAAATAGGTATCTGCAGGAACGGGCAGCCCCTAGTCGCTAGTAGATATCCTGTAACCACGTGCTGATCGCGGTTATCTGCACAGCCTTACACCTAATGTCAAATGCCATCATACTTCTGCGCAATGTCTAGTTCGAGATGTAATGTGATGTAGCCAAGACGACGTGGCAACAACACATGCCGATGCCCGTTATGGTGCGGCGTGTCAGCCAGGCGTTCAGCGCAAGGCTTTGCATAACATGAGAATAGTATAGATTTTGGCCCCCAAGTTCAGGACTGCGTCAAACCGCTTCGGGAAATTACAGCCTTGGCTCGCTATTCCCTGGCACGCTACTCGCACCCTTCATCGCCAACGCCCTTCGCCCCATCACCAATGCGGGCAGCTGAGGCTGAAGCGCCTCCAAGTCCTGCATACAGTCATGCTACGTGTACGAGCTTCGGATCGCTCATTGGCCTCGTCAAGCAGCTAAGAGCCTTACGCGGAGTGAACGGCGAGTGATCATCACGCGAAATGAAGGCTGTGCTTGCGATACCCGGTTTGAGCCCCCCTTGGCCGTGGACCCAAGCGATGGTGGAACGCCTAAAGGCTTCAATAAAAGCCACGTCCAATCTCACATGTTGTGGTAAACGCCGCTGTATAACGCCCAACTCTTTTTGCTGCATTCATACTACCGAAACGCAAAACAGTATTCCACAGGCTTCGACGATATAAACCTTCACAATGGAGAAGCAAAATGGTTAGTAATTGCCCTCCGACTGTTGTGTATGAATTCTACGCGATTCAATGCGACTCAAGAACTATGCCGTTATGAAGCGCATAGTCCTTTGAATGACTACGCCGCCTGGCCTTCAATTTCCCTATCCCAAATACCATGACTATCTTGCTGACAGTCTTAAAGTGCCCATGCAGCAATACCCTCAGTCGCCAGACGCGACCGGTCAACCACCCATCTACCACCAAGATCCCAACGCACAATACCAGCAGCAACCAGCCATGTATACACAACAGCCCCAAGACCACCCCACTGGCTCGCCGGCGCCTCAGCATCCACAAGGCGCATACGTGCAACCTGACCACGCTGGCGCCCAGCCTGGCATGCCTCCCCAACAACAAAGCGGAGCCGTCTACCAGAACGCCACACCAATCGCGAACCTGAACCGTGGACCTGCGCCTACAGATTGCCCTGCATGCAGACAGCGTGCCATGACCAACGTCGCTTTCGAGACGGGAAACTCAACGCACGCCTGGGCTCTCGGTCTTTGCTGCCTCTGCTGCTTGGGATGCATTCCTTATGTGATGAACTCGCTCAAGGATGTCCAGCACAAGTGCGGTCGCTGTGGCGTGCTTCTTGCGACTTGGCACCGTAGCGGAAGCACCGAGGTTCACATCCACTCTTAGATCATGTTTTAATCGTGCTGGGAGTTGAATGCACATAGAGAGGGGAAGGAGGTGCGCGATGGTTTGAGGCGGATGATACCCAGGGGGAGAACAGGGCGTTGAAGCAATCGGGTGCAGGGCGGGTCAACCAGCCCTGATTTTGTCTGTTATCATGAGGAGTTTTGCGCAACAAGTTTCTTTATAGTACCCGCTTTGATAGAATCCGAAGAGAACATGCAGTCTGTACCTGATTTCTCGTTGACCGTGACAACGCGTATTTGAGTGAAGCCAACGATCCGGCGCGCTAACCCGAGAGATACTCGTTCAAGAACAATAGTTCTTGCAAGTTGCACCCAGCAAAAGTAACTTTGCCGTATGGTGCATGATTTAACTGATATGCTGATGGGATGCGATGTGTCGTGAGCAGAATGCTCACCCCATCGAGATGAGTGTATCCCTCCGAAATGCATGCATCTGACGTCACCAACGGTCATCGCGCATCGACGCACATGGGAAACCAGAACATGCAGGCTACGCAACACCATCGGCAGCGCCACACATCGTGAAGAATCGAAAGCAGATCCGGCACCAAAATGCCGCGAAAGCCACTTTCCTGACATCACCGCCACCAGATCAGCCACACAAAAGCCACCGCTAGCGAAACCAAGCTTTGGCTACATGCACCAAGCTTTTGGCAGGTTCCAAGATTCCTTGTGTCAGCCCGCTTAATCGCGTTAAGATCGCCATGCCCTCCACATCACCATGCCGCCAGCCGTCCAGATCGAGAGTAACGGCAGGGTTAGCAACCGGTTTGTGGCTGGTAGTTTACCAATGCAGTGGCAGAGATGCGAAAATGATGTCGTTTGACAGAGTGCGTGGCCGTGTGACGCTTTGTAGTGTGGAAATTGGCTTTGGGATATAAGACTCGCATTACAAGCCTTTCTATCGAGTTTCCACAAGGCCTATCCCTCTTCTTTTCTCACCTTGACCGCTCAGTTGGACCGCTAAGTGCAGGTGCTGTTGGCTTTGCTGGCACGCTACGTCGTTTGTTGCGTGACCCCTTCCGGAACAGACAATCACAACAAAGACAACAATACGTCATCAGCACGCGGTATAGATACCTCGAATCCAGCACTTCAACGGATCAACATCGAACCCACTTCCAACAAAATGGGGTTCTTCAACAAGCGCAACACGACGCCCGTCGCCGCAGACACCACAACGGCAACCGGTGCTCACGAGAAGCGCGCCAGGCCTAGACGTGCTTCCAAGGGCGGCTCGTCCTCCTACAACAGCAGGCCTGGCTTCGGATCATGGATCAAGGCTACCTGGCTCGACATCCTTACCATGGCCCTCATGGGCGCTGTCGGTCTCGGTGTATACTTCGCTGATCCAGCCCCAAGCCGCAGCTTCCCCATCATCTTCCAAGATGGAGAGATTGTCTACCCGCAATTCGCTTACCCTATGCGGAACGAAATTGTTCCCATTTGGGCTGCCGCGCTCATGGCGTTCTTCATCCCCTTTGCTGTGTTCCTGATCGTGCAGATCCGCGCTCGCAGCTTCTGGGACCTGAACAATGCTACCATCGGACTTCTCTACGCTTTGATCACCGCGGCTGTTTTCCAGGTCTTCATCAAGTGGCTCATTGGAGGTCTTCGTCCTCACTTCCTTGCCGTCTGCAAGCCTGTCATCCCTGCCAACATCCTTGACACTGTCGGCGCCAACGACAACGGTGTCGAAGCCGGTAGCGCCTATGGCAACGTCGCAAATGGGTACCGTCAGATCATGTTCGACCGTAGCATCTGCACAGGTGACAGGAAAGAGATCAACGACAGTCTTGAGTCTATGCCTTCCGGCCACACCACGGCTGCGTTCGCTGGTTTCGTCTACCTGTACCTGTACCTCAACGCCAAGTTGAAGGTCTTTTCCAACCATCACCCGGCTATGTGGAAGCTCGTCGCTCTCTACGCACCCATTCTTGGAGCTTGCTTGATCGGAGGTGCTCTTACTATCGACGAGTACCACAACTGGGTACGTCTTCACGATTCTCACCTTATACTTTAGAACAACTACTAACAAACCTTTAGTACGATATCCTCGCCGGAGCGGTCATCGGCACTCTGATGGCTTTCAGCGCCTACCGCATGGCCTATGCCTCCGTCTGGGACTTCCGTTTCAACCACATCCCTCTCATGCGCCATGCTCCTTTTGTCTACGGCGCCGGTCCAAGCTCTTTCGATGGCTTCCACGACACCGTCTTCACTCGCAAGGCTGGATGGGGTACAATTGAGGGAACCAGCTGGGGCGGCGCACCCTTCGATGCCGCAGATGGTCCTAGGGGTACCATGATGCCGCATCCTGACGGGCCTGCTCACGGCCACCACGGCAGCGCCTCGAGCCGCGTGCAGAGGAAGCCCGTTGGTGCTGATAGGCATGGTGAGCAGATGGTCTAAGCAGCTTAGACTAACGATCTTCTGGGCTATATCAGCTTGTGAGGATGAGGCTGCACACCTGCCTCATGGTGCGGACGAGATGAAATCGAGAAGGAAGGATGGGTTGTGCATTTACTGGGTAGTCTTCGTCGACGACATCTGACGATCATGATAGCGAGGCGTTATTGAGCACTAGAGATACCATGACATCCAACTTATGAATATAGTCTAATAACATTCTGCATAATTCGAGTTGTTGGCTAGTTGCTGTGCTGTGAAGCTTTGGCCCTCGCGGAATGTCTCGGAATGACCCTCATTCCGAGCCTCTGCGCGCACGCGTCCGTTACACGAACATTGCGCGACGACCTTCTGGGATCGACGCCGACCCACGTACCTTTCTACAGAACATCTATTGCCAAAGGGGTCTCGGAACACCTGAGCGGCCCCGTTATGGTGTCAGACATGAGTCTGCTCTACGTACTAGCCCTGGTGTTTACTGTCCTACAACCCTGTGAGCGTCCTCCCTTTACTCATAGATCCTATGCGACGTCACCCAGATATACTATAGGTGCATGGAAATCGCGTCGACAAATTCGAAGCCGTTGCAACTAACGTGCGACTCCAGACCCGATCCTCAAAAACCGCACGCTGCCATCTTGACCCCTCCCGCCCTGGGCAGCGCCAACTACCCGCTTCCTCCTCCGCCTCGTCTCCTCCAGTTCCCACGTCACACACCGCTAGACCTCTGACTTATAGCTTCCGCAGCTTCTTACTCCTTCTCGCCGCTTCAAAAACAAACCTGCGCAGCCGTCACACGCGAAGTGGCTACCACACGATACTACAGCTAGAGCTAGCCTACAGGGACACGGATCACATGCATACGAAGTACATGGGCTTGATGTGAACAGGGAGGCAAGTAGGTTGGCTGAATGAAGTTCATTGCGAAAAGTCTATATACACCGGGACAAAGAATCAAGGTACAAAACCATGCAGGGAACAAACGCAACGCCGTCGAAAATGGAGAAAGAGACCGACCAGGCGCCTAGTGCTGTTGAACACCTGTTACAACTAAAAGGGAAATACAATGGGTTCAGAGCGTTTCGAGCTGTCTCCTCAGCTCTTTTATCAGCTCTTCGCCATCGTGAAGGCTCAGCATCGCGGTTGGTGCGAAGACGCCCACATCTAAGGCGCCATTGCGGATGGTCGCCTCGATATCGATAGCATGCTACATATCTGTTAGTTCCTGCTCGTCTCAATACCGCGTAAAGGCATACTTACCAAATATGCGCCATTGACACGCTCGTCCACCAGTTCAGCAGGTGGTTCCAAGCTGTGCTCCTCCACTTCGGTCACCCTACTGACCGACTGCTCCCATTGTTGAGTCGGTTCGATAGTGATTGAGTCCTTATTCTGGGCCTCTCCCTCCGCCTCTGGAGTATCCGGCAGAGATAGGAAGTTTACGAAAGTGTCAACCTTGACACCTGTCCATTCGCTGATCTCGAAGAGGCTAGCAGAAGCGTTCATGGGCTCACTGATTTCTTGCAGGTCGCGTTGGATATCCTCAGCCATCTCTACCATCTGGCGTTTGAGCGGCTTACTGACACGTAGTGGTAGTAGATTGACTGTTGGTACAGCAGCCGAGGCAATGCCATTGATAGGCAGCGAGCGATTGGCCAAGTAGACACCAATGATCACGTCTTCATCTGCAGTGCCCGATGTGTTCGCAGCATGAACCTTTGCGTACGCAGCGAGGAAGATGGACTGCGTTGAAACACCACGTTGGCGCGCAGCTGCCTCCAGGTTGGGCGTTGCGAACAAGGCTGGCTTGAAGAGCTGTGTCCTTGTTTTGGGGCTCTCAGCAGGCTGCATCAAGAGCTTCTGGGCAAAGTCCACGAGATACCGAGTCCAGAAGCTCTTCTTCTTCTCTAATTCCGATGTCCCGTACCCTTTAGCGACCATCTGGGCAAGTGTATTGTCTGGCGGATCGACTTCAGCGCCGTTGCAAATGGCTTGCAGTTTCTGCATCAAAAGAGGTAAGCTGACACCATCGTACAATGCATGGTGGATCTTCAGCTTCAACGCCCAGCCGCTGGAAGTTTGTGAGGCGAAGAGGTAGGCCCAAGGCTGCATGGTCGTTGTAGTCTGGACGCGCTGGCGGATTTCGTCATGTGTGCAGCCAGTGATATCTGTGACAGAGCTCTCCAGATCTTTCAACACGACTGCTACGTAGGGTATCTGATGATCGCCAGTCGTGACGAAGGAGGACCGCAGAATCGGACTTGTCGCAACCAGGGCGTGCCACGAATTGTTGAGGTCGTTGAGACCAATACCTCCATAGATAGCGTATGTGAACTCGGCGTAGAAGTTGCTGCCTTTGTTATTTAGCCACATCGACAGCATGTATAGCTGTCCGGCGGTGACTGGTAGAATTTCTGCGACACTTGCATCGTCGATATGAGCCCGGTCTAGGATGTGCGATCTATCGAGATCTTTGAGAGCCTCCCGGACCACTTCATGAGGATTGGCACTGGTTTCCAGCTGCTGTGTGGTGCGCGAATCCACAAGACTTGCCATCTGTTTAATCGTACCAGCTCGGAGCATCTCACCAACGCCGAGGATGATGCCCTGTTTGCGCAGAAGAGAAGAGACCTTGATCGCGCTGATAGAGTCCAGCCCCATGTGAAATATTGTCATGCCGCTCGTCATCTCATCTTCGGGTGTCTTCGACACAAAGGCCAGAGACTCGCGTATCTTGCGAGCTGTTTCGGTGCTTGGTGGATCCCTAGCGTCTTCGTCGTCAACTACCTCATGGCTGCTTGTCGCACGACTTTGTCTCTGCTTGAAAGCCGGCATACCGCATACTGATGTGCCGTTCGTAGTGACCTCAATTACAGATGTCTCTGGATGTTCCATCAAGTGTCTAAGCACGTCATCCATTCGATCGAGGAGCTGTTTTGAAGCCTCTTCGTCGAATACTTCCTCTTTCACCGCACAACGCCAAACCAAGCTCTTGTCCATTGCCTCCATTTCTACACACACCGGATACTCAACGTCACTATGACCCTCGATGCTGGTGTACAGCCTCTGTCCCTCCTCTTCCTCTGACGCGAAGCCCTTCTGGTAGATGAATAGACTTTCGAACAGTCTTCCATCAACACCTGCTGCCGATAGGGCTTTCCGAAGTGGGTAGTGTTGCCACTGCTTGATGTTTGTGAAGTTGTCTTGCATGTAATGCAACATGTCTCCTCCAGATCCGTGCAGGACTGACCGTATCGCGATCGTGTTCATAGTGGGAAACATTAGTTGAGATCGCTCCTCGTCGTCTCTTCCGGATAGTACAGAGCCGAAGGTGACATCCAGACTGTTGGTGTAGAGAGAAGTAACGAGAGCAAAGACGGTTTGGCCGATAGTCTGTAATGACACATTACGCCTTCTCGCGAACGTCTGGAGCTCATCTAGTACCACTGCGCTGTTTCGTTCGTGGCGATGAACATGGCTGCCAGTTTCGCTAGAGATGTCTGTTCGTCGGGGGAAAGAGCTTGTAATGGCCCCCGAGAGATAATCTTGCCAAAAGCCCGTGGAAGCAGACACGGACGTTGTGACGATGTTGATCAGAGAAGCCTCGTAGCTTGGGCGAGGGGTGAACTCATCGTCGTAAGCTCGTTGCACGTCAGAATGCAGTAATCCAAGAGACCATCCATCGTATAGAGCATGAGCAATGGAGAGAATAAGGTAGCACTGGCCAGATGTCTCCACGAAGCTAAGGTGGAAGCGGGGTGTCGAAAGCGACTTCTGTAGGGAATCATGTCGAAGTTTACGGAAGATTGAGGCAAAGTCGGGCCTGCCCTCTACTTCGATATGCGTCCAGAAGTCATGATGTTGTTTGTGGACGACCTGTACGAAAGAATCGTCGAGTTCCGGGTCATCTACCTCTACGAAGCCAGTCCGTAGGATTGGTGACGCAGCGACGACTGTTGTCCAGGCCTCTTGGAGTTTTTTGACGTCTGTATTGGGATCCAGTTCGAGTACATCATGGTTGTAGTATCTTGTGTAGTCTGACGCAATCATCTCAGCCACCATAGCTTCTTGCAAGGGTGTCAAGGGTAAAACTTCCTCAACATCGGTGTTGTTAAACGCATGCTGTTCGAGATGCCTCTTCATTGATCTTTTGTAGGCGTCAAGGTTTGGCTGAAGAGTCGCTTCAGCTGACGTTTCCGTGGGCGAGATGAGTTGTACCATTTTCGCAATGGTCAGCCCGCGCATGATGCCGCTTACGGGAATGGTCACTCCGCGCTTCTTGAGCTTGGATGATAACTTGATGGCGTCAATACTGTCGAGTCCAAGTTCAAAGATGGAGGTGTTTTCGTTGATGCTGGAATATTCAAGACCCGATAGTTGAGCAGTCTCCTCTTTGATCTTGATGGCATCGCTCGTCCATTCAAAATCGCTCGTCTTGTCGCCGTTGCTGATCTTTCCATTTGCGGATAGTATACTGTTTTGCATCGCTCCATCTTCAAAGGTCACCGCAGGAATAGTAGACGGATCTACTAAGACCTGTCGCAATGCTTCTTCGAACCGATCAAGAAGCTCATTCGCCAAACACTCATGTGCGACATGATCTTGACTAACCAATGTCAACTTGAATACATCACCCCTCCGTTGCTCAACCTCGAGAGCCAGTGGGTAGTCAGCAACAGTGTCATTGTCTAGGATCTCCCAAGCATCGTTTTTTGCCCATCCGTCACCTCCCTGTGCGATTTGGTACGCGAAGAGATTGTCGAAGAGAGGCTGGCTCGGAGTTCTTTTGCACCACTTCATGATTTTTCTCAGTGGAGTGTGCTGATGAGGATGAGCTCCAACGTTGAAATCGTGCACTCGTTTGATTGCCGATGACCAAGATTCGCCACGCTGAGCGCAATGCTGATAGGGGATGGTGTTGAACATTGGCCCTATGATGCGATCCGCACCTTCAAGATCGATACTGCGTCCAGAGACGACCATTCCAGCCGTTACGGCTCCTTTGACGTGCTCGCAAAGTACACTGAGCCAGCAAGCTTGGGCAATAGCTTGTGCTGTAACATTAAGTTGGCGTCGCACAGAGTCAAAGCCGGTCAACCCAGGCAGTGTACGTGTAATAACTACAGCTTCTTGAACAGCCTCACCAGAAATGGTGGGTAAATGAAGGGTTTGTTTATCCAGATGGTTCTGCCAGAACTCCTTCGCCCCGTTAGGGATGCTGAGCGGGCCATGAGCAAGCGCAGTATGGAAGGCAGGTGCGTGCAATTGTAGATCCCTATCGTTGTAGACGTCCCAGACGGCCCGGAAGATGAGCTCAATGCTGTTGCCATCGTAGAGTCCATGGAAGATATGAACAGACAGCAGCTTCTGCGTTGGTGTGGTAATGAGATGTATCTCGAAAGGGCGGGTAAAGTCCGGTTGATTCAGCCCTAGCCAGCGTTGTCTTAACAATTCCAAGCTTTTGGCAAGGTGCTGCTCTTTGACTGGAGTGTGTATCATTCCAGTGTAGGCAGGAGCACGGAGAACTACCTGCACGTGACCTTCCTCTGTGTTGACAAAGACCGTACGAAGTATGGAAATTGAAGCGTGCACCTTATTCCATGCGGCGTCAAGTCTGCGTTCATCGATGCTGTCGTCTAGCTTGAAACGGAAAGTGTTGAAATAGAGTCCGTTCTCGCTCTCCAGAGATCTTGCAATCATGCCTTGTTGCAAAGGAGTACATGGCGCGACGACATCGATGACGCTGGATTCGATAGAGAGTGATTGTGCGACAGACCGTTTGTAGCGGTGCTGCACTGCGTGAATAGCTTGTTGTGCTGCGAGTATAGATCCATGAGCCTCATCAGTGGGGCCACCAGCTTCCAGGGCTTTGGCGAGACGTCGAATAGTCGGGCATCGCATTACTACAGATGCAGTAGCACTTGCGAAGCCTGACTGCTTGAGTGTGTGCGATATACCGATGACGGAGATCGAGTCCATGCCCATCTCGAAGAAGCTAGCATCCTTACTGATAGATTGTTCGCTAACACCCAGAGCTTGAGAGAGTACTTGACAAAGCTTCTTCTCATGCTCCGACCAAACTTCGTCTTTCTCGTTTGAAGTGGCTGATATTGCTTGCAGATCGCCAGAGGAAAGTGCGTCGTAAAGCTCCTTGAGCTTTTTGGCATCCGCCTTGTTATTGATGTTCAATGGCATCGTAGAGAGAGGAACGAAGTGCGTGGGAATCATGTATGGAGGTAGTTTCTCATGACAGGCTTCCTTCGCGATCCCCATCGCCTCGACGTCGCCTAGCTGCACCTGAGGTTGTGCCCTGGAGAGTTTGCCACACACAAGGAAGGCAACCAGTTGCTCTTTTTGCTGCTTTGGGTGCTTCAGTACTAGCGTTGCAACATCAGAGATCGCTGAGCTGGACTGCTTGATGACGGAGTTAATCTCGGCTACCTCGAGGCGTTGGCCACGCAATTTGACCTGATCATCTGCTCGCCCAAGGAATTGGAATGTGCCATCATGTAGGATCCTAACGAGATCACCGGTCCGATACACACGCGCACCTAAACGTTCGAGGTGAGGGAAGCGCTCTGCAGTTAGCTCTGGGCGATTGAGGTAGCCTCTGCCAACAAGTTTTCCTGAAACACAGAGTTCGCCTACGCCACCTCGTAGGACAGGTACTTCATCCCCGGGATGAAGAACCAAAGACCCCACATTGTCAAACTGAGGGCCGATATTGGAGGGTCTTCCATTGGCTGGAACGCGCGGGAACATGGTGCATCCTATCGTTGCCTCGGTTGGCCCATAACCGTTGTAGATTACGCCTTTTGGACCCCACACGTCGAGAATTTCTTGTTTCAGGCTTTCGCCACCGGTGATAAAGACGCCCTTACAAAGACTGGGTACGTCATCCGGATGGAGAATCTGGGCAAGACTGGGCGTCAGATCGATATGCGTGATATTGAGATCAGAGATGGTCTTTGCTAGATCTTCAAAGATGAGATCCCGAGGTGCTGAAACGACGCATATGCCGACCGACCAACTCCAGTACTGCTCAAGAACTGAAACATCGAAGTGGAACGACGCGAACTGAAGCCATCGCGACTCTGTATCCCAATGTCCGGTAAACAAGCGCTGGAAAGCAAGAAGCGCCTGCACAGCGTTCTCATGAGTCAGCTCGCAGCCTTTTGGTGTACCTGTAGTACCAGAAGTGTACAAGCAGTAGCTACGATCCTGGGAACTGATCCGGTCGTTGCGCAAAAGCGAAGATCCTGGTAGTGAACGCCAGTCGATCTCATCAAGCTTCAGTACTGGCACACTAACGTTGCCCTCAAACTGATCAGCTTGAGAAGATAGAGATAAAACAGCTTGAGCGCGCGAGTCTTCAACGATAAAAGCCTGGCGTGCAGCAGGCGCACCAGGGTCGATAGCGACATAAGCGCAGCCAGCCTTCAATATTCCCAGCATGGCGAAAGATGCTTCAGGACATTTGTCGAAACACACACCAACCAGACTACCAGGCTGCACACCATGCGCAGTGACAAGGTGAGCAATTCTGTTCCCCTCAGCATCTAGCTCAGCATACGTCCATTGCTCAATAGTACGTGAGCCTTGATCGTTCGCGGAAACGAACTCAAACGCGACGCGCCTCGGGTACTTCGTCGCAGTGCTCTCGACCAGCTCGTGGAGTAACCTAACATCTGATGGCAGTTCGGGATCTTTAGCAGGTGTGATAGAATATAGTTGTTCAGAGAAGTGGGCCTCCATCGCAGTGGTGCTTGACGTATAGCTTTCCATCAGGTGGTCTAGCTGCTCGAGGATCAGAGCGGCCTGCTCCTTTGGTACGATATGAGGCAAGAAAGTAAGGCGGTACTCCAAGTACCCTTCCATTGGTTCCAGTTCGATCGAGATCGGGTACTCAATAGCCGCATTCTCTTCAACAACTCTCCACAAACGGCTAGGTTCTGTACGACTAGGCAGCTTCTGGTAAGCGAAAATTGTGTCGAATAATGCTTCGTTGGGAAAGCCCATAAGTCTCTGGATCTTGTTGAGTGGCGTAAATTGATATTGCTGGATTTGGTTGTTCAACGCCATGATGTTAGTAAGAGTCGCAGCCATGTCTTTTGAAACAGTGCATGCCACGGGTACTGTGTTGATACATGGAAAGACGACATCCTCAGCTCCGTCAAAGGTTCGGCCGGATAAGACGACGCCGCATGTTACCGAGCTTTCTCCAGTGTAAGAACTCAACAATGAAAGCCAACTCGCGATACCTGCAGCTTGCATAGTGATGTTGGCATTTCGACAGCCATCCTCAAGAACATGAAGCGGTTTCGTGGATTGACGAGTGCAAACGGATGGGGAGCTTGGATCATATCTTAAAGGTGTGAGATTGGGAAAGCGACATGGACTTGCAGCCTTCCCAATCTCATTCCATACTGCTTCTCCGTCTTCAGTGCTTGTAGCGCTGAGCTGTATAATGCTACTAATGGTTGTGTCGATAGATGTAGGCGACGATAAACCGCGGCCCTCATATGCAGCAGTAACATCATTTAAGATGGACTGAAGACTTTGGGCATCGAAGAGAGCATGAAACATGGCCAGATCAAGAGCGAAGTGACCCTCTTCTTGGATGATGCGTAATGACCAAGGAGGCAAATGTAAATCTTGCAAGAATGCACGTTGTAATCCTTTGAGCCATTCATCGATCGGGTCGGATGTAGTGCTTGAGGTGGTAGACCATGGCAGGTTTGTCGAAGTTGGAGTATACTCAATCATTGCGAAGGCGTGAAGCGGATCTTTGATCTGAGCGAATCCGCTGCGCAATGTACTATGGCGTTCTCTCGTCATATCCCACGCTTTCTTGAGCCTTTCGAGGTCTGTATCCACTTCCAGCTGCATACGGATGTGATTCATATACACAGCTCCTTCTGTCGCGAGGAATTGCGATATCATGCCCTTCTGGAGTGGAGTGCAAGGACGAACGGCTACGACATCCCCATCATAGATGCTATGGTCGCTTAGTACCCCCACCTTGTGCTTGCCTTCGAAAGCACTAAAGTTAATATGCGGAAGTGCAGACGCATCCGATGCCTTCGCCTGGCCAATGAACTCGGCAAGATCGGCGCATGTGGTGTGATTCAGGACATCGGCAGCACTCACGGAGTAACCCTGCTTTCGAAGTGCTGCTGCGATTTGAACTGCGCTGATGCTGTCAAGACCGAGCTGGTAAATGGAGGTTGTCGGGGAGATCTCTTTTTGCGAAGCATCGGACAGTCGCGCAAGAACGTCCCTCACCTCGATTTCACCTTGTGTCCATTGATGATCTGAGCCATGTTGAAACCCATTGGTTAGCAATTCCGTGCCGATGTGGTCTCGGAATATGTTTGTCAACGCTTTCTTGTCAATTTTCCCAGCCATTGATCGCGGAATCTCGTCGACGAAGACAAAGAACTGGGGTACCATGTACGACGGTAGCTGGCTGCTTGCAATCGTTTTGAGCTCGCTCTCTTCGATCTTGCCATGCGTAATCAGAAATGCCACGAGCTGGTCCCTGTCTGTCTCCTGCTTTTTCAAGATCTGTGTAGTGACAAACGCGACATCTGGATGAGCATTCTGGAGGACATGGTTGATCTCTCCGAGCTCTACCCTAAGCCCGCGTATCTTGACCTGATCGTCCGTGCGTCCTACGAATTCGAAACTGCCGTCACTGAGCATCCTCGCCAGGTCTCCGCTCTTATAAAAGCGTTGCCCACCCCAAATGACAAATCGTTCGCTTGTCAGATCGGGATTGCCGAGGTAGCCTCGTGCGAGTTGTGCGCCTCCAATGTATAGTTCGCCAGTGCTCAGCACAGGCAAGATCGATTTACCTCTTGCCGAGAAGATGGCGAAAGATGTGCTTGGGAAGGGTTTGCCGATAATTGAAACACGACCGTTTACTGATACAGGGCTTATTGTCGTACAGAATGCAGCTTCAGTAGGCCCGTACGAGTTGACGCATGAATCGCCCCACTCCTTGACGATAGCGTGTGCCATGGCTTCTCCGATGCAGTACAACCACTTGACGCTCGGTATATCAGATCTTTTGAGAGAAACCGCTACTGAAGGCGTCAGGTCGAGCAAGTTGACCTGCAAAGAGTTGATGACTTTCGGTAGGTCGTTCAACAAGTCACTCTGGTTAGTGGCACAGAGCGTGAACCCATGGGTCCAAGCCAAGAAACAGTCGTAGTAGCACATATCGAAAGTTACAGCCGCATATTGTAGCAGTCGTGAAGAAGGGTTCCAGGGAATACGGAAATCTGAGCTTGCGATGGTTTGGACAGGAGCGCGATGTTCCATGCTGACCGCTTTCGGTACGCCTGTAGAGCCAGAGGTGAACAAACAATAGGCTAGATTTGTGTCCACGAGGCCATCAATGACAGGATTATGATGCGGCACAGATGGTATTGCTTCAGCATTGACAATCCTCGCTTCGATTAGATGATCGGGCAGTGTCGAGGTATCCGAGCAAAGCACAAGCTTTGGCTTCAACTCTTGAAACATAATCCGTCTGCGTGCTTCGGGCAGTCCTGGATATACCGGTGCAAAAGCAGCCCCAGCTTTTATAACTCCTAGAATGCTTGCATAGAAACAAGGGCTCTTCAGCATATGGATGGGGACGATATCATCTGGACCAACCCCTTGCCCAATGAGTGCGTGCGCAACAGAGTTCGCTTTTTCATTTAAAGTCGCGAAAGACCAAACTGTCTTGCTACCATCTGGGAGCAAATATTCCAAGGCGATACGGTCAGGGTGCGTTGCCGCTATGCGTTCGAAACCTGAATGTAGCAAGACCGCGTCGGTTTGGCATTGCTCATAATCCATGTTGGACTCTGCTCGAAGGTGAGCTGGCAGTGGGCTTATGTCGGAAGAACTCATTCCCGGGAACGCAAGCAATGATGAGATGCAGGTGTCAAATGTTTCCATGACCAGCCGAGCTTCCACTTCAGACAACAGTGATGTCTGGTAGTGTAGCGATAACTCTAGAGTATTCCGGACCGGATCTTGAACAAGCTCGCATACGATGGGTAGATCCATGTCACCCAGATCTTGTTCAAGTGTCCAGATAGTAGAGTCCAAAGTTGTTTTCGGCTGCTGGAGTATCACCAAACTGTCAAAAAGACGGCCGCCCTCCCGGAGTACAGTGCTTTGTATGCGACGGAGCGGTGTCAACTGATGAGCTAGCGACTCGATGCTGATAGAATGGGCTAGGCGCATCAAAGCGTCATTAGTTTGCTGAGGATCGAGAATGATGCGGACGGGTAGGGTGTTGAAGCAAGGAGCAACGATGCGATCAAGGTCGTCGCTGGAGATATTGCGTCCATTAACGACGTTTCCGAAGCAAATGTCGTTTTCGCCCGTGTAGAAGTGCAGAAGCTTGGCCCAAGCCGCGTGCACTACCGACAGTAATGACAGCGACATGTCTTGACATGCTGTGCGTATGGTGGAGAGTCGTAGTTGTAGACATTTCGATGAAGATGCAGGGTTTCCTTGGGCTCTTGAATCTTTGCCGGTAAGACTGGGAAAGAGAGCAGGCTCAAACCCGCTCAATAGAGTGGCCCAATATTTATCGCCCTCTGCATAGTCTTGCTGGAGCATGTACTGCAGATACACATCGTAAGACACCGGTGGCGGGATTTTGATACCGAGATATGTGTCTTGTACTTCTTGAATGAGCGTAGAGATAGCAATGCCGTCGTAGAGCGCATGATGGCAGCCAAAAAGTAGCTTTGTTGATTGTCCGTCTTGTATCAACGCGAGGTGAATTGGAGGGCTTTCGGCTGCTAGGTTTTCAGAAATAACACTGTTTATACGCGGCGGTAGACCGTCCAGGGTGCTGTAGTGATGCCATTTCAAGTCGGTATTGCGTAGCACAACTTGCGTGAAGGCGAATGACGGGTTTTCAGTAGCAACGAAACATGTGCGAAGGATCTCATGTCGCCGTAACATACTCTTCCAGGACTCCTGCAACCGGGAGACATCTCCTTTGACGTCGAAAAGCATTATGTTGCAGTACGCCGAGTGTGAGGACGGCTGGCCACTTGAAAGCATAGCCTCTTGAAGTGGTGTGCATGGTAGGATCTTTGCCACCTGGGATTCGCTTTGATTGTAACGCGCAAGAACACGAGACACTTCTTCCGGGCTCAAGAACTTGTCTAGGCTGACGGTATTATGCCTGGCCGTTTCTCGAGTTGAAGGGCGCGAATGTAGTTGATAGACGGATGCGAGACGAGCGATTGAAGCGTTCTTTAATACTGTAGAGATAGAGAAGTCACCCAAGTTTTGTTTTCGAAGTCCATTGCAGAAGCGTATAGCTGAAACTGAATCTAGCCCCAGGCTGAAGAATAACGACGTCCGTTGTATTCCTTCCGGTGAGGTGTTCAGTGTGGATGAAAGAACCTGGGCCACGGCTTTTTCCCATGGCGAGAAGACCTCAGCCTTTGCATCATCCTGCGTCCATTGCAAGGCGACCTGTTCTTCTTCCGCTAAGTCCCAGAATGTGCGTTGAAGGAGAGCCTTGTCGATCTTGGCTTGCATTGTCATGGGAAGGCGCGAAACGGGAACGAGATGCGAGGGAACCATGTACGAAGGCAGACGACGCGATAGCAGATCAGACAGATCCGATATCACCGATTCAAACTCCAAGGGCGCCAAACATTGGAAAGAGTCAGATGCAGCTCCGTTGGGTACCCAGAACACTACCAGTGTTTGAGTATCGTCGGAACGCGGCAGGAGAAGGGTAACGCAGTCTTGCACTGCCTGATGATCGAGCATCACTGACGTTATCTCACCGAGTTCGACACGCTGACCACGAATCTTGACTTGATCATCCATACGGCCTTTGGAAAGTATGGACCCGTCCGGGAGTAGTATACCTGTATCGCCTGACCGGTATATCCTACCATAGGTAGAGTGGTTGATGATCTTCGCGGCATTCAGCTCCGGTCGGTTCAAATAGCCACGGAAAACCTGGTAACCTCCGAAACAAAGCTCACCCACGGCACCGAGGGGGAGAATTGCCTCGCTCTCGGGATCGAGCACGAGGGCTGAAGTATTATCGAAAGGCATACCGATGTTGTTGATCAGATCATCCGGAGTTACCGCCGCCCGTACAGTGCATATGTTTGTGGTCTCAGAAGGACCGTAGCCTTGGTACAAGCCTTTGCCTGCCCACATTCTTCGAACGTGTTCCGTCAAAGCTTCTCCAGCAGTCACCAGGAATTCGACTTTCGGAACATTCACTGGATCTACCAATGCTGCAACTGTTGGCGTCAAACTTAGATGTGTGACGCCCAGACAGTTGATGGCGGCCTCAAAGTCGTGAAACAAGTCGTCTTTCGTTGCCGTGCATAGGCATATACCAACATGCCATGAGAAGAAGATCTCGAAAACACTGACATCAAATGCTTGCGAGCAAGACTGAAGCAAACATGAACCCGCATGAACGGGGTATATAGTTGAAAGGTATTCCAAGTTACTCATGAGATTATCCTGGGTAACGAGAACTCCCTTGGGCGCTCCAGTGCTGCCGGAAGTGAATACAGCATAGGCGAGATGCTGTCCGCTATATGGCACGTCCAGGTTCTGATCAAATTGTTTCGCAAGTTGAGGGGTATTGAACTCAATTATATCGACGAGAAGATGATTTCGAACGCTTGTTGCAGTTGTTGTGTCGGAAACGCATACCGTTACTTGCGCGTCGTCCAGGATGCTTCTGACTCTGTCGATCGGCGTGTCAGGGACTATCGGTAGATATCCGCAACCAAGCTTGAGCACAGCAAGGATACAGATGTAAAGATCAATGGACTTTTCCATCATTATGCAAACCAATTGATCGTCGCCTACGCCGTGATCGGCGAGGACACGGGCAAATTGGTTAGCGCGTGTGTTGAGCAGACCATAGGTCGCCACCTCTTCGACTTCCACGACACCACGTCTGACGCGAGCAAATTTGAGAGCTGACCTTCGCGGATCCTTCAGAGCCCATTGTTCTATCGCATGGGCAGGACCATGCTCTATAGTTTGCTGTCGAGGCGTGGGATTGGCAATTGACAAGGAAGGCGTGGTGAAGCATCGTTTCATGGCATCGATGCCATGGTTGGCATTCGATAAGAGCAGGTTCACTATCTCGTCGATCTGACGAGAGAGATACTTGATCTGATGCTCCGGTATAGTTGAGGCGTCGTACGTAGCGTGGAAAAATATGTTGTCTTCGCGCGGCTCGAATTCCAGCGTAAGCCTAAATTCCAGATCGTCCGCGCTATCGATGACTCTTGAAGCGAGCGACGAGCTTGAGTCGGAGATGATTGACTGTTGCCATACAAACAGAACGTCGAAGAGTCGTGTCCCAGGTGGGATATTTCCCGCCTTCACTATTTCCCGGAAAGGAAGGGTGCTGTGGCTCAGACATTCTCTATTCAATGCTTGGGTCGTACGCAATAGATCATGAATGTCGAGCGTTTTACTGAGATTTATGCGGAAAGGGACGGTTGCGATGCATGGGCCGATAACATCCTCAACACCAGCGATGGGAATGGTCCGCCCTGAGGTAACGTTTCCAAGAACTATATCGTTTGTGCCGCTATAAAGGCTGAGTATGTACGCAGTAGCCGCCTGGAAATAAACCTGGGGGTTGACAGCCATCTCCTGAGCTCGCTGGAGTAGTCTGGATCTGTTGATAGCAGAACGGCCCGAAAAGTGATGTGTCGCCGGATCGCGAACGAGCTTTCCATGGTAATTAGGGAGGGCCACCGGAAGGTAGCCATTGAGAAGACTACTCCAGTAGCTCTTGGGTACTTCTTGATCCTCCGGCCTGAGTTGGGTGAAGTACTGGACTACATCACGAAATTGTGGCCGCGATACTGTTTCCTCTCCATGCAACCGTGTGTCGAGATCGTGGAGCAATAGATCGAATGACCAGCCATCGTACAGTGCATGATGTATGCGGAACAAGAGACGAGGTCGTCCAGATATCGACATAACTTGTACGTGGAAGGGACGAAGAAAGTCTTCATCGGAGCTCATTGAGTAAGACTTCGAAAAGACATCAACTTCCTGAATCTGTGATGGCAGTAATGCTCTCCAAATAATCTGCGAGAACGTTCCTGCGTGCTGCGATGCCGCAACGAAGCCGGTACGCAGGATCTCGCTCTTACTGGCCAAGTAGTCCATGGCGTTTCGGATATCTTCATACGTCCGCGTAACTGATAGCTCAACTTCGATCCGGTTGCAGTAGGCAGTAGGCCTGGATATCGTCTCCGCAAGCATGGCTTCCTGCAATGGAGTACAGGGTATCACGGATGCAATATCATTCTTCCATCGCTTGAGCTGAGGGATCTCTACGGTGCCGGTCATCTTCGCAGAGTGATGCGTCGGATTATGCCGATTAGCGCTTTGCGTAGAACTTCTACATATCGCAACGAGATCGCTCAATGTTCTCGCAGATAGTACTTCCATCGCTCCTAGGACGAATCCTTGTCGACGTAGCGCAGACGCTATGCGAATAGCTCGAAGGGAATCCAGACCAGCAGAGCTAAGGTCGGTATCTGATCCAAGGTCTTGAGAGATGTGACGACCAACGGTTTCCAGGACTGATTGGCTCACATGATCGCCTGGGGATATGGTGGTAGACGTAGACAGTCCAGTAGAGTTAGTCTTGTGAAGATGTGTTTTTGCAAGAGAGTCTTTGTCAATCTTTCCCGACGGTAGCTGCGGCATTGTATCGATGAAGTATACGTGTGATGGAATCATAAATGCCGGAAGCCATTGGTTGCAGGTAGCGAGGACATCTGCGCGGGTGACTTCGCTCGAGTCGGCAGCGCAAAAGGCAACCAGAGACTCTTCGACAATGATTACGGTTGCTGTCCGACAGCTCTGTATCCTCATGATAGCTTGTTCAATTTCGCCGAGCTCAACCCGTTGTCCTCGAAGCTTTACTTGACCAGCAACGACACGACCCAAGCATTCCAAGACGCCGTGGCGGTTGATTCTTGCGCGATCGCCGGTACGATATAAGCGACCATGTTCCGGATGTTCGATGAACGATGCAGAAGTGAGATCTGGGCGATTTAAATATTCTTCGGCAACCTGGGGTCCTCCAATGGCTAGTTCACCAACTTCTCCGGAACTCAGTATCTCGATGTCGGCCGATGGTCGTTCTTCATTCATAGGCGCGATTATGAAAGCCGAAACAGTATCCAAGGGACGACCTATGATGCTAGTTGACGAATGTGTCGAGAACTGTGGCTGCAGCGTGCAGTGGATCGAGGCTTCAGTCGGCCCGTACATGGCCCATAGCATACTTTCCTTCGTTTCGTCGCCACCATACTCATCAATGACGTGTTGGGTGAGCATCTCACCGATGGTAAGTAACAGTTTGAGTCCGGGCACGCTGGACCTGCCTTGAAGAAGGTTGCTCACGACTGTTGGCGTAAGTTCAGCTGCATCGACCTCTAGATTGTTGATGGCTCCTGGAAGGTCATCGAGCATGTGGGCACGTGTGCTGCTCACCAAGGTTCGCCCTCGGAACCAGGGAAAGAATATCTCAAAAATGGAAACATCAAACGTCTTACACTACATTAGTAGAGAAAGAGCGCTTATTCTGCATGTGCACTTACAGGGGCTGCAAATTGAAGAAAACGGGCGAAGTCGGGAATGTGGCGGTGGTGAGCCAATAGACTCTGGGTAACTGCATGATGAGTTACGCTGACAGCTTTTGGCTTCCCGGTAGAGCCGGAGGTGTACAGTACATAGGCCAGATCCTTGGTGTTTGGTCGCCGCAAATCGATTATAGGCTGGGCCTCGCGGTCGCAGAGTTCTTTGTCAACCGAGACTACATCGATATTGATCGCTGCTCGTATCCGCTCATCTAGAATCGAAGATGTGATGAGCAGGTCGGCAGAAATATCATCGAGGATAAACTTCAGCCGCTGTGTAGGTGTATCGAGATTAAGAGGACAGAATGCCTTTCCCGCCTTCAAGATGGCCAAAAGAACGATATACAGTTCTGGGGACTGTGGTAGGAAGACCGGAATGACAGGCGAGGCACTTTCGAGCTTTGCCAGTCTTTCTGTGATACTGCCAGCCAGGGCATCGCTCAGACTATGTAAGTCCTTGTAGGAGAACTTCCGCCTTTTCGATCCATATTCCAGGAAATCGATAGCAGTTGCATCGTGATCAAGTGGACGTACAAGCTCGTGGAGAAGGTCTGGCCCGCTCAAGATCGAGGGCCGCTGATTAAGTACCGACAGTCGTTGGTTCGCGCCGCTTTCTTGAATCATCTTGCGTTAAATTGTTAGATATGTCGACAGATGGCAACGGTTACTGGTAGAACATTCGAGTCTCTGTCGTCCCGAGCGATACGTCCATGAATTTCCCGAAGAAAGAATTGCAAAGAATGCACTCGATATTGCTGGACGGGAATCTGCAGAATGCGATGCTTGATCGCAGGTTTCGATGATGAGAAACTGAGGCACGATGATTGGTCGAACGTCTCCAAGTACCTTGAGACCAGTACACACAGGGGTGGCGCACGTGAGAACGGGTTCCAGCACTCTGTACTTGGGTAGCGCGTTCGACACTTGACGACGGAGTGTGCAGTGCTCCGGTGTAAGCAAGCAGGCAGCAAGCAACCTTCAAGAAGCGACCTCCCAGAACGTATCGCGGTCGCCGAATTCCAAATGATCGAATAGTGCTAGAATCAAAAGTCGAGAAAATCCAAGCTGAGGCGTGCACTGATTCGATGATTTCTGGTGTCGCGACTCCGTGATGTTGAGCGCGTTGTCCGTAGATGCAGCGTCATACATCCTGGTTGAGTGACAAGTGGACGTGTCATTCGACAAGCGGCGCGTAAGATCTGATACAGTAAATCAGACGCGTTTGGCGGCGGCTTTGCAAGTGGGCGAAAACGGGAGCAAAAACTGTTCGAGACAAGCCTAAATCGAGACTGAAAACCGAAGCTCCACCTCAATCATGCTAGTCCGGAGTAGTAGCGTGAAGTGGTGGACGTAAAGGCGTGGGCGCGTCTCCGATGACGACAAGGCCGTCGCGGTGGCTGGTTGGGCGTCGTTGTTCCATAGCCTCTTTGCTATCGCCCCACGCTATGGAGCAGAATCAGTTTGTCAAGCGCAAACGCGTCGCAAGATTCTGTCGCAACGTGGTGGTGGACGCGACTTCGGAGCTGTGCCGCTGCTTGGTGGGGAAGACGCGGCCGGGCATGCCGCCGAAAATCCCGTGCTTTGCGTGACATGCCAGGCGGGTCATCCCTTGAGCAGAAATTATCAGATGCACCACAGCAGTCTACCCCTGACCTGACTTCACGTCGCCGCTAGCCCAGCCCTACAAGAGCTGCTAGGGATGCACGCTGCACGCGTCCGTCAGGCTGTCACCCGACTGCCTGCTGTGAACTCACCTGCCGCAACCCGATGACAGAGTATATATGGTAGGCCTTTCACATGCGGCCTCTCCAGATGCTCAGACAGTCGCTGGTTGTCGCTGCCCTTCTGGTGCATGAACATGTTGCAGGGCGGCCATCTATGACCATGCCAAGACTCTAATTTAGTCCTGCGCTCCTACCACGTCTTCCGTGTTGGCCATGGATGTGACATCAACAACGCTGAATTATCAACATCGCCTCCATGGCATCCTCGCTCATTCCAGTACACAGTCGCAAGTTTATCGTTGCATCTCTCGCTCGCTAATGCTCATCTGAGCAGCAGCCGAGCACTGCACACCCGCAATCGCATTGCGTCACGCCAGGCGCGCGCCACAATGCCCGACTATCGCGACGATGACAGCTCCGAGAGCCAACCCCTTCTGGATTCCGAAGAAAGTGAAATTGAGGATGAGCCCTCTGTCCGCCACAGTACGCAATGGGAAAGGCATGTAGAACCGTCGTTAGCGACGGTTCAGCCTCAGGCTTTTGAAGGTCCCACCGTCTTTCGTCAACGATTCATCCGCCAAATCCTTGGCTTGAACAAAACCTCCTATTTCGCACTCTACAGGCAGTTGGATGATGTTGGCTCCAAGCTGATTCTGGTTTTGGGCATCGTAACTGCGATTCTGGCTGGGCTGCCACTTCCTCTGATAGGTGTCGTGCTTGGGCGCATTATCAACAACTTCCCACCCAACCCAGACGAGCTGAAGCATCTCTTGTTCCGTCTGATGTCAGTCGCAGTCGGGTATTTTGTCATTACCTGGGCTTGGGCGGTTTGCTGGGCTGTCATAGGAGAACGCGTGAGTAGGAAAACAAGAGAAAGACTTTTGCATCGTGCTTTAGGCATGGACATGACCTACTATGGTGCGTAGATGCCCGAGAAATGCCTCGCATAGACTATGTATTGACTCGATTTGCCTTTCGTAGACACCGTCTCGCCTGATCTTTCTAGCATTCTCACAGAGAAGACACAGACCATTCAACTCGGTACCTCGGAGAAGGTGGGCCTCTTCATCGCATCCATAAGCTACTTCATCTCCGCATTCACTGTGGGTTTTATGCTAAACGCAAAACTTACCGGAGTAATGTAATTATCATCATCGCCGTCATGTCAAGAGAGAATCGTTAACATAGCTACATAGGTTCGTTACGGTTATACCTTCAATGGCATTCGTTGTCTATTTCGGTACTAAACAAGTTTCCGATCTCGCCAAGCAGGCTGCACAATACACCGAGAAAGCTGCCTCGGTCGCTGAGAGTGCTATCCGCGCAGTACAGATCGTGCAGGCGTTTGGCCTGTTCGAGCAGCTTAGCGAGGAACACGTTCATCACCTTCGATCTGCCCTGCGGGTTGGAATCCGAAAGAGCGTTGCGGGAGCTGTCATGCTTGGCTCGGTTTACTTCGTTGCATATGCGACCAACGCACTTGCTTTCTGGTATGGTGATCGCTTAAGAGACGGCAGCGCTGAGGCTGGTACCATCTATGCAGTCGTCTTCCTCATACTAGACGCTTCTTTCGTCGTCGGGTCATTCGGTCCATTCATTCAGACATTTGCAATGGCCGCCGCTGCTGGGGCTGCGGTAATGGATGTTCTCGATCATCCCACATCCGATATCGATGTCTATTCCCCAAAGGGAAAGCCGGCGGACAGGACACATTTCGAACAGGATCTGGTGCTTTCATCGGTGTCATTTGTATACCCAGCTCGTCCTACTGTGCGAATCCTCGACAGTATCAATTTACGCATCAAGCCTGGGCAAGTCACGGGTCTAGTCGGACCGTCCGGCTCGGGAAAGGTAATCATCAACTTTCGACTAGCACAAACCATTGGCTAACCTCACTTCTTCTTAGTCTACTATTGCATCCCTGCTTTTGAGGCTCTACGATCCAACTTATGGCGCCGTAAACCTCGGCAACGACAACTTGAAGTCATTCAACGTCCACAGCCTGCGGACACACATCGCACTCGTCACTCAAAATCCGGTTCTCTTCACTGGAACAATACTGGATAATATCAAGCATGGTATCCCAAGTGCCGAAAGAGAACAATTGACTGAAGACGAGATTCTTGCTCGGTGTGAGGCGGCGGCGACAGAGGCATACTGTGATTTCCTAGACCGACTTCCTGAGGGCATACACACAAAAATCAGTTCCGGACCCCAGTCTCAACTTTCCGGAGGCCAAAAGCAACGTATAACCCTCGCGCGTGCGCTTGTGGGTAACCCGTCCCTGCTTTTACTGGACGAATTCACAAGTGCCATGGATGGTACAAGCGAAGCGATCGTTTTGGAAAACCTACGTCGTTCTTCAGCCAACGCCAACCGAACCACCGTCATAATTGCACATCGTCTGGCAACTGTTCGAGATGCTGATCGTATCATCGTCATGAAAGACGGAAGTGTAGAAGAAGACGGGCGCCATCAAGATCTTCTCAAAAAGAACGGCATCTACGCAGAGCTTATCAAAGCACAACAATTCGAAAAAGGGCGGCCTTCAGCAACTTCATCGATTCGATCTGCTGCCAGCTCTACGCACAAAGAGCATGGAGAGTCTTCAGGCGACTCGAACAATGCCTCCCGGCCGATTTCAGCATCACAAACCGACGCGCCAAAGATGAGTGCTTTGACATTAATTGGCAGATCGTTGGCATTGAGTCGCCGTGAAACGCCAGCTATAATTGTCGGTTTGATCTCCTCCGTCTTCAGTGGTGGAGTCATTATCGGAGAGGCGCTCATCTTTGGCAACTTGGTTGAACTCTTGAATGATACGTCCGGCTCGGACGATCTCACGAGGAGAATATCTTTCTACTGTATGCTTTTCTTCGGACTGGCAATCATCGCTCTAACTTCACACTCTTTCGGCAAAACTGCTTTCGGCATGGTCTCCGAAAACCTTACCTTACGAGTCCGAGATTTATCTTTCCGAACTATCTTGCAACAAGACATTGCCTGGTTCTCTAAGCCTGGTCATTCTCATCACGCTTTAATGTCGCGTCTGAACTCTGATAGCGGCAGCATTAGTGGTCTATCTGGTGTCATACTCGGAACCGTCTTCTCCATTGCGACGTCTGTTCTTGGCGGAATTGTTCTGGCCCATATTGTGGCCTGGAAAATCGCCATTGTTCTACTGGCGGCTGTACCTGTCATGCTTCTAGCTGGATTCCTGCGCCTTCGTATCTTGGCTATGGCCGAAGAGCATCATCAGACGGCTTACAACGACGCTGCAGCCCTCGCTTCCGAAGCCACTTCTTCTATGCAGATCGTTGCAGTTTTTGGCTTGGAATCGCACTTCCTGGATGGTTACCGAGAAGCAATCAGAAAGCCATACGAGGAGCACCTCAGGTTCAGCGTGCTTGGCAACATCTTACTCGCCTTTTCACTCTCGGTCACATATTTCGTCTACTCTTTGGCGTACTGGTGGTAAGTATATATGTTGATGCCGCTTCCATCAGCCAAATGCTAATTGATGCGACAGGGGGTCTAAACAAGTGCGCAACGGTAACTATAGTCAACGAGAGTTCTTCATTGTACTCCCTGCGCTTCTTTTTTCTGCACAATCCGCAGGTCAGCTCTTCAGCTTGGCACCCGAAATAACTCGGGCCAAGGCCGCAGCGCAGAATGTATTCTCTCTACATGACGAGAAGCCGTCGATCATCACAGATCTGAGGCCTTTGGAATCCGCTACCACCACTGCATCCAATGGTAGCGCTTTGTTATCTGGCCCTTCAGCATCGTATGGAACATTTGGAGTGCGTGGAGAACTGGAGTTCCGTAACGTCAGTCTCTACTATGAGAGTCGGCCTAACGTTCTCGCCTTGAACAACGTCTCATTTCAGATTCGCCAGG